GACAACACATTTTTTTGGGGACTTGGATTTGTTTTGTAAAACTGCCTTGACTTATATGTGAAATTTAGGCCAAATACCACTTATCAAACTATTTGTAGCGTATTGTTGAACTTGATTATGATATTCAAATGCTTAAAATGATATTTTGGCATTTTGTAATGTAATGGATGCCTTCATTTGTTAATTGTAAAGCATTGTCATTTTTTTTTTTCATTTTTAAGATATAATTGTAGCGGAAAAAATCATCACATTTCATGATGGTAAAGTGTTGTCATTAAATCAGATTTCTCTATTGACAACCACCTATTGTTATGGAATTGCAAATGTTTGGTGACAAGAAAAGTTGTCAAATAATTAGTTTATACCAGTTGACACTATGGATTAATTTCAGTGACGACATTGTTTTGTACATCAATGACAAGATATTATGTCATCGCTAAAATTAAACAATTACTGACGACACCAGTTGTCACAAAACAATACAATTCACTGACGACTTTTAAGGTTGTCACTGTGTACTTTTACAGCCGGGCCTTCAGTGACGACTAGAAAGTTGTCAATAAAATTTATCAGTGACGACTTTTTATATTTTTTGTGACAAAAATGACTTGTCACTAAAAACCAATTTTCTTGTAGTGTCCACTCTCCTTGCACGATCATAAGCAATACCGTGCTACTGAGTTTCTGATGCAGTATGGGATATAGGTGCCAAACTTTCTGGTGAAACAGGTTGTGAAGATAGTTGTGATGATCATCAAATTTCTGCTGTGATTCAAGGCCATTTTGAATGACTTGTAGCTCCACCTGTTTATCAACGCCTGCACTTTCTTCAACAGTCTTCACATGAGGGTTAAGTATAGAGTTTTTCATCAAAAATTACACTTCTGCTAAGTATAACTTTATTTTCTGAGGGTGACCAGATTCTATACCCTTTAACCCATCTACATATCTCAGAACACTCCCTTTTTAGCCCTTGGTTCTAACTTGCCTCACTGACATGATAATACGCATTACAATCAAAAGCTTTCAAACTTGAGTAAGTAGGAGACATACCATACCACACTTCATAAGGTATCTTGCAGTCTATACCTGTATGAGGTGCACGATTGATCAAAGAAGCAGGCTGTGCTTACTGCTTCAGCCCAGAACCTTCTTGGCAACCTAGCATTAAAGAGTATACACCGTGCTCTCTCTAGAAGTGTCTGATTCATGCGTTCTGCTACACCATTTTGTTGTGGTGTGTGTCGAATTATGTGTTGCCGAGCAATTCCTTCATCTTTGTAGAACTCATCAAACTCCTTTGAACAAAATTCCAGACCATTACCAGTTCGCAGCCTTTGATCTTCTTTCCAGTTTGATTCTCCACTAAGGTCTCCACTGCTTGACGTTCTTGAAAGTTTCACATTTTTCCTTCATAACGATTACCCAAATCATCCTTGAATAATCATCAATCATGAATAAGAGTACCGATAGCCTCCCAAAAACTCAACTCGTGAAGGACCCCAACAGTCATAATGGATATAATCAAGTGTGCCTTTTGTCCTGTGAATTGCCTTCCCAAACTTTCTGTGATGGAGTTTACCGAAAGTACAATGTTCACAAAATCCAAGATCGGTGACCTTGTGGCCTTCTAGAAGATCACATTTAGACAGAATGTGCATCACCCTTTCGCTCATATGACCAAGCCTAATACGCCACAGCTTGGTCATATCAGACCTGCGATCTTCAGAAGATACAACAGCAGCAGTGGCAGGCCTATTAGCGTAGAACCTTGTAAGATGTACAGGTACCATGTTTAACTCCTTTGAGAACCACTAATGAACCTTTACTGATGCACAATTCTCCACCTTCCCCTCTGAACCTGAAACCCTTACTGTCCAGAGCATTAAGGGATATTAGATCTTCGTCATTTGTGGAACGTGCCTGACTTCGTTCAGTGTGCTAACCTTTCCAGCATGTGTCTAATTTTAATAGAGTCGATCCTAACAGCCTTGCAGACAGAGCTATTAGCCATCAAGACATTTCCGCCATCTATCTGCTCATATGTTGTAAACCATTCCCTGTTTGGACATATGTGATAGGATGCCTCAGAATCAAGAACCCACACATCAGAGTGATGTGTTGGTTCGTTGCAATTAGAGCCAGATCTTCGTCTGAATTTATTGCTTTCTTTTCTGCAACTGAAACTGAAGCATGTTGTTTTTCCTGCTGCTTCTTCTTCTTAGGGCAATCAGATTTCTAATGATCCTTTCCTTGCAGTAGTTACAGATATCATCCAACTTGGGACCTTTAGAGAACTACTTCTTGTTTCCAGACTTTTTTTTTCCAAATTTTCTTTACCACTGGTGACCACTAATCCAGCAGCCTGATTATCTGTAACATTACCAGCCGCCTTATGGCGCAACTCTCTAGTATGTGGTGTTGATCTTACTTCTTCTAGAGTCACAGTAGTTTTGCCTCCAATAAAAGACTGAAAAAAATTCTCATACGACAACGACAGAGACACTAACAGAATCAACGCGGCATCCTCATCCTCAATTTTAATATCAATATTACACAACTCAAGAAGAATCGTATTTAATTGATCTAAATGTTCTCGAAAAGGAGTACCTTCCTGCATACGTAGACCGAACAGACGTTGCTTTAGCAACAACTTGTTGGTTAAAGATTTCGTCATATAGGGACTTTCAAGTTTAACCCACAAACCCGCAACAGTTTCTTCATCGGTGACCTCAGTGATGACATCATCTACCAGGCACAACATGATTGTTGAGTGAGCCTTTTCCTCCAGACTCATCGACTCTGCATCAATGGAATCTGATTTCTTCTTCGTTAGCGGACTCCACAAATCTTGTTGATAAGTGAATATTTAACATGCATTTTGTATAAATTTGGTATGAATTTTTGGTATGTTTTGAGAAGATTAAAACCATATTTGAACTCTTTTGATGATAATTGATTAAATATTGTTTAAATGTTCAAAACTTGATAAATAAGTGAATTAATATGTTAATTTTGTGAAAATATGAAGGATATGGATATATGGAATTCATGCACGAGATGAAGAAATTGTAAGAATCATCTTGAGGATAAAAGTACAAGAAAACTAGGAGCAAAAATGAAGGAAAAAGGAAAGAAGTGAAAAACTGAAAATTCAATGGCACGGATCCGAGTGCCATCCGAGCTCGGATCCGTGAGATCAAAGTGTGATCCGAACCCTCGTCTGTATTTCTGGAGCAATGTATTCGAGGTCAGACAATCCGACCTTGGATCCAGCATAGGAAGTCCTCGGATCCTGAAGATTCGGATCCATTTTCACTCCTCGGATCCGAGTCTCGGATCTGTCTCTCTCTTCAGCAAGTGGCACAGCCGTTTTTTCTTTACCTTTCTCACAACTTTTCCAGCTATTTTGAGAGACAAAAATCAGTGGTACATGCTTCTGCACCAAAAGAGAAGACCAAATGAGTTGTAGACAAAATGAAACATCATATCTTTGACTTCTCTTACAAAATCTGAGTGGAGAAAATTATGAAGGGAGAGAAAGGACTTTCTACCACCTTTTATGCAGAGCACAAGGAAGAAGCAGGATATAACCATACATAGCTAGTTTTCCTTCTGGTAATTAATTTCTCTCTAGCTAGGAGTTCTTAGAGAAGCATTTGGAGTTTTCACTTGTAATCATCTTGTACAAGAATATAGCAGTAATTGGAGGGTTTCACCATCAATTGGCCAAACTTTTTTTTTCCTTCTTGTACTTGTACTTTATGATGTTTTGTATTAATAAACTTGTGAGTTTGATTGTTAAATTATTCATGAGTAGCTAAACTTCTTAATCTAGGGAGTAGATGAAACTTATGGCTAAATAATACTACTTGAATGTGATTTACACTTGTTATATCTTGTATTAACTTGTCTACTTGTGTAGCTGTGATTACTTGTTATTGATTGATCACCAATAGCATGTTTATAGTTGTTATTGTCAATGAGAATTGGTAGTAACAATGGAAACATATGAGTAGAGCTTAAGTTGTATGTTCATGAAAATAGAGATACACTTAAATGGATTACTTAGCATTTCATGAAAGAAAATAGAGTAGAACTAGTATTTCACCATGAAAATAGGGAAAACTGAACTACTTTAGGCCATTTCATCATGAGAATGAGACTTGGTAATTTTGGAAATGAATCTCTGGTTAAACAAGAATAATAACAAAAGATAAATCCATTCATTTGTGTTGTTTATGCCATAAGTGGAATCTACATCCCTAGAGTCTTCCTTGAGTGAAATTTCTCCATTTGCATTTAGCATTTGTTAAACTAGATTTGTATATCAGATTTGTAGACTATAGCAATATACTTTCTCTACTCAAATTTATGCATAAGTCTAAATAATAGAGAAAACAAGGACCTAGTAATTGGTTAATTTGCTCCTCGTGGGATCGACTCGATACATACCCTACATTACGATTTTGGCCTGTATACTTGCAGTCAATGGGTATAAAATCGGAATTAAACTTGCATTGATATAAAAATCCCGTCACCTGTTGCTTTAACAGGGCCCGCATCTTGATCTGCCACAGACTGAAACTATTTCTCCCGGTGAACTTGTCGATCTTGATGTTCAACGCAAACATATCGTTGCGAGATCCGAACCGTAGCTCTGATACCAGTTTGTTATAACAGATGCAACAAAACATGAGAACAAGCAAGGACATTAGAACAGTTTTAGGGGAAATCAGATTTTATTAGGGTTCAAATCAGAATAGTTTACAGACTAAATATAAGGTGTATATATATACAACCAAACGGACTGGACCCAACAATAGGTCCAAAACCAAGACCTAAAATAAAACGAATACGGTAACTAATATATACTGTAAGCGTCGGGAGCGTTGCCCGAACCCCCCGAGGGCAACACTACCCCCGGGCCCCCGACTCGCTAACCGGGCAGCAAGACCCCGAACAGCTCAGCGAAGGTCGAAGATCTGATTCAAGACATCTCAACAACCACGATTTCGGAAAAACGATTGAGCAGTAAAGTTGGCAAATGGTCTACTGGCTGGAACTTCGCTTTCCAGTCTATTGAAAGACATATTGAAGTAATTGAGGCCTCCAAGCTTCACCAATGACTGTGGAATTGTTCCAGAAAAATCATTGTGAGACAATTCCAAATACTCCAAGCTTATGAAATTTCCTATAGATTGAGGAATGTGACCTCGAAAAGTATTGTGTGCCAAGGACAAGAAAACAAGTGATTGAGCAGCGCTGAAAGAACTTAGAATATCACTGGATAATTGATTCCATGATAAGTCTAAGTCTATTATGACCTTAAGATTCCGAATCTGCGAGGGAATATCACCTCTTAAAGAGTTCGAAGACAGGTTCAGACTTAAGAGATCATTAAGGTTCCAAAAACTCAATGGAATTGTGGACTTCAAATTTTTGAGGTGCAAGAAGACTCTTCTCAAGGATTTGATTTCCCCCAAGCAATATGACATTGGACCAGAGAGCAAGTTTTCGTTCAGATACAAGTCACCAAGCATCTTCAGTTGGCAAAGCTCAGCTTGGATGGAACCTTGAAGCCTGTTGTGCTCTAGATATATACGATCCAGACGTATCAACTTTCCAATTGTTGAGGGATGGATCCTGTGAGCTCATTCTTAAGAAATTGAATTAATTTCTTTTAGGTAGATTTTTTGTTTTTGTGGTAGTATCTGGTTTGCTAATTAGTTTTAGTTACTTGAAATAGTAGTCAAGAAATTTCCTATTTTGTTTAGGATTTAGAAGTTATTTCTTACTCTATATAAGTTTAGGAATTAGCATTGATTTCCTATTGTTATTTGGTTTTTTGGCCAAATAATGTTCTCTATAAATAGGTGAATTGACATACTACACAAGACACACACAAAAAATACACAAGGGAGATATGTATAACAAGTTACTCTAGTACAAGTTTCTCAATTTCATGTTTTTCACTTATATTTGTACAACTTTTTGTACGTTAAATATGTTACGGCAAATGATAATGCATTCATTGTAGTTGCTAAAAAATACATGTACCTGTAAAACCCACAAGATCCTGCAAGGGCAGCATGCGTTGCTTGGTAAGCCAAGTGTCACATACTCCACATTATGTATAGTTTTGAGTCTTTTGATAGGTGAAGAAAAGGATGACTTAGCATCAGAGAATAGTAAGTTGGGCAAATTATACTTTATCCTCTTGTGGTTTAATATTTTTTTACATAAAGTATTAAACTATAAGAGATTTATATGGTATAGTAGTAAACTATAAGAGGATTATATGGTAAACCATAAAACCATACGGGGTTAGTGTGTCATGTATTTAAAAGGGTAATTTCGACATTATTAAAAGTTTCGTTATAAATGATCATTTCCGTCATTTTGACACTTTAATTCAAACCATGAGGGGGTTATGTATAGTTTTTGAACCATAGAAGGGGTTATGTAAAAAAAATACTGAACCACAAAGGAATAAAGTGTAAGTTGCCCTAGTAAGTTTGAGTTGGGATGAGCATCATTATCAAGAAGATGCAAACATTCCTATAGGTAGATTGAAGACACAGTTTCCTAGTGATAATTTGTATAGAGTTATCATTAGAGAGTAGGTGTCATTAGAGAATACGTTCCTACTGGTAGCTTTTTTTTATCTTTTCTTAAAAAAATCTTTTCTTAAAAAAAAAAGAAAATAGTGGATAAAAGCAACTCTAATATATCAAAGCCAGGTTTCAATCCTAGGACTTGTGGGTTATGGAACCACCACACTTTCGCTGCGCTACTCTGATTATTGTTTCAATGTACAGTTATTAATAAATGTAACTTATTTTGAGTGAGTCAAGGAGACTGCTGTGAAGTGCGTCTGATGTAGCTTTTGCTGGAACTTCAATAGAAACTTGAGCAATTGCAGGTGTAAGGTCAACTATGAGCAATTTCTTCATGTGCTTTTGTGCTTTCATGTGGAACCATTGGTTGGTGGCACTGCAATGTGTTTGGGGTCAATCTTGTGGGCTATGATAGCAGTGTACCTATCAGTGTTGAATGTGGTGTAGTTTGTTGTTGCTTTCTTCAGGAAACAAGCAATGGTAGTTTTGTTGATTGATTCTTCAATGATGTTGTAGAGCATAGTATTCTGTTTAATTGAGTAAGCATTCAGAATAGAGGTTGTTTTAATGGTTGTAGAGGAAGGATTGTATTGTGCATACCTGATTCTCTTCTTTCTGGAGATTTATTATTCTGAAGGGGAGCAGTTGTTCTGCATCTTGTGCATAAAGGTCAAGCGTGAGAGTTCCTGAGTTGTTTGTAAGTTGTATTGTGAGCTTGCACTTGTTATTGAGTAATGGGTGAGTTATTAGTTTATGTAGTATTCAGTAATTAGTGTTGGAATTGGAGATATTGAACCTTGTGACAACATTGATGTGCTTCTGGCAAGAGGTACAAATAATTGGCCAGTTAGGTTGCGATCTGAGGGATTTGTGGCATTGGGGACAAGCATAGTACCACAGCTTTTGGCTCTTGTCTAGCAGTGTGGTTCTTCCTTATACCCAGTATGCTTTTTGTTCCGGAAAGTTCAGAAAGTCTTTGATTGTAGTTACATCTTCAGCATTAGGAATTGGAAGCAGTTTAGCTCTATTGAGAAAGGCTCTTTGTGCTTTGAGGTTTGCAATGATAGCTTGATTTTTGCTGCCCTATTGATTTTATATGTGAGTAATGGAAGAGAAAGAATAATAATTACAATAATGTAATCAGTTACCATTGGTTTAGCGGCACAGATTCTTCAAGGGATGGATTGATGAGAAGTGTTGTTGCAAACTTGGTAGACATGTTCATAGCTGTTTATTTGATTTGTTAGTATAACTATTGTAAGTATAGTAATTTGTTGTATATGGAGGATAGTATAACAAGGATTGAGAATAATACCATGGTAAGAAATGACTTTTATTTTGATGGCTGCAAGTATTGGTTGAGTGTGGATTTTGTCAGTCAATATTTGTCCTTCTTCTGCTTCGTATTCACCCCATAGAGTCAGCGCTATAGGAATAGAGCAGTATGTAGTTTTGTTAGGTAGTGTATGCATAACTGTATAGTTGTTATTACTGGTACAGAATGAGTATATACTTAAGTCCTGTGATCAATCAGCACAATTTCTCTAGTTGGGACTGGTGTTTTGTTGTTTCTTGGTTCGACATGGATGACTATTCCTATCACATCTTATTTCAGAATTTTACTGTGAGCGTTCATACTAAGAATACTGATTGAGCAAAAAGTGGTTGTAATGTTTAGATGCTTACTTATCTCAGTGTTGTCATCAATATGGCGATGGAGCTTGTTGAAAGGGGTAAATGTGAAGATAGGTGGGAAAGCTGGTGGCTCTGGTTCATCTACTGCCCGGACAACTGATGAATTGTCTATTATCCATGTGCATTCGTTTTCCTTGGTACAGTATCGCTCATTAGTATATTGAATTCTAGCATTTGAGATGATGTATCTTTTTCCTGAGATGAAGAATCTTTTGAAAAAGTTGATGCCTGAACCATAGATGAGGGCATTTAAGCTGTTTCCCCGTTTCAAAATATTGATGTGATAGTATTTACGTATGTAATTAATAGAATAGTATGTGAATGAATTTTTATACCTTGGTGTCAAGGAGTATCATCTTTTGATATGGGTTCCCTGCTTTAGAAGTTTGTCTCTTTAGCTTTTCAGCCACTTGGATGATTGCAGTCCAGTTTTTTGTTTTTGGCTTAAGATTGCTGAAAGTTAGAAGCTGCGGTCCATTCTTTTGTTGTATTGCTTGGAAAGTGAAGAAGAGAAATAATAGCATCAAGAGACATCAAGAGATGTAATTGTAAGAGATACAAAAATATATAACAGTTGAAGATATGAAGAGATATTTGGAATAAAAAGTAGTGGACATATACAAATAGGTGCGGATGATGAATACATGCAGCAGTAAAACAGGGACAAGAGAAGGGTATTTTACATGCAGTAGCAAAAGTAAAAAACTATTGTAAAATGATTCTATTAAACATGAGTTCAAAATATTTAGTGCATAGAAATGAACATCACATGTCATTAATTTCAGTATAAGTTTTAATTTCAGTTTTGAAGTTGGTGTTTATGAGTATGAAGTTCAGATCGTTTAGTAATGTAAGATTGAGCAGTATATGTATAAGCTCAGTGCTTTAGTTGTAGTTTACATACCTGATTGTAGAATGTTGTGTTCCAGGTGATGAGAGAAAAAGAGAGGGAGGAAGTCTGCTTTTGGAAAAGGAAGTTAAAAGCGATAAGAATACAATAGAGATGATGTAGTTGAAGTGATTAAGTTATGGTGGCAGGTGTAAAATTGGAGTTCAGTTCAATTAGAAGTAATGATGTGTGCATGTGCTTTGTTGATATTTCTTAGTTTGTATTCAGTGGAAAAATTATTAGTTTATATAGATATATTATCTGATGGAAGAAGTTTAGTTGTAGTTGATTAGTGAGTATATTTGCTGTGTAAGGAATTTAGTTGTGTTTGAAGGGGTTTTTGGTATGTTGAATCTGTAGTCTGTACTCTAGTAGTTATCAGCTTTCACATATTCCTAGGACTTTCACATGTTTTGACTGGTTTTTCTCTTCTCTTTTGTGTGGTTCAGAGGGGTAGGTTGTATAATTTTTTTATATATTTTATCTTTTAGGTGTTAGGATTGTCTAGAATGTTTTATATGATGTGTGTAAGCATATGTATGAGAATAAGAAGAAGGGAATATAGAGAGCGAGACACAGAGTGATATCTGCATTTGGCTGTTGTTTTGTGCAAAGTTTTTCTAGATGGCATGTGCAAATTGTAAGTTTCCAACTGTTCAGCCATATTATCCAGAGATAGACGAGGAGATAATTGAGTTAGCAGCTGTGCGTGGAGTAGCTTATCCCATGGAACATGGATGCCGTAATCGACCTGCTGAACCTGGTGCTCGAGCTCAAGTTGCAAATGTTTTTGCTCAAAAATGAATTATGCGACTTGTTCAAAGAGTTTTATAGGCATGATGACTGGAGTTCAGTTTTGGAAGCTGCTTTGAGAACTGGAAGAAATTATCCGGTTCTGCAACTGGTTGCTAGAAAAATGAGACTTGAGGTATTGGAAGAGAAGTATTTTCTTCCTAGTCCATCCGTCCACTGATAGTTTTGGTAATCAGAGTGATTGAAAGGTAGCGTATATTTTCAAGAAAGCATTTAAATAGATTGGTTATTGCTGAAATTGTTTTTGTTGATCATAATTACTTATAGTTGACAATTTTGATTGTTTAGGTTATCGTGGTCAGTTTGAGAGGGAATTTTGAGATGCTGTTTTGCTGGAAATCTTTCAAACTGAAGAATAGCAGGAGCTTATGTTGTTTTATGATAAATTGGACTTTTGTGTATCTTATTTATAAGTATTGTATTGTGAATCCTGGATATCTTTGTAGTGTTTTTATGAGTTTTCTAATGAATGTGTATTGCGATAAAAGTTATATGTGAGAATGAGATTTATGATGATTAGAAATAG